TTATTGTTTGCAATAAATATACATTGTATTAAAAGTTCCACCTGCCCCAGGTGTGGGATTTATTGTCAGGGTTTCTTTATCAGGATTTATTTATTATCGGGGTTTATGATCAGGATTTGTTGTCGGGATTTGTTATCGGGATTTATGATCGGCCTCCAGGGAACATGGAATGCTGGAGCCCCAGGATGGGTTTGGGTTCATTGCTGAAGGGTGGGGTGTCCCCCTTTTTTTTATCCTGAGTGCAGCCATCCCAGAAAAAGGAAAAMCAGGGATTAAATGGGATTGGAGCTGGACAAACCCAGCCTGGACAGGTCAGGGTGTGACCCCAYAGGGACACCTGAGCTCCAGCTGTCCCCAAATCCCGCTGGCTCCGCTCTTCCTGGGGTGTCTGCTCCGAGCTGCCCCATTCAGGACCCMGTTCCAGGATTCAGGGGGAAATTTYCTCCCCTCTGGACTCTTTTCCCGGCTGGAAAACCCTCTCTGATCCCAYCGGGAGCAGGGGACAGCGCCCCGGAGCACCCAGCACAAACCCTCCACACCTCTGTGAAGTATTTCACACTCGGGCCAAGCACCTGAAGGGATTCATTAMCCGCGAGCATTAATTGGGGTCAGTGTCACTCCGCTGCGATGTGGGAACGCTTTGATCCCAGACCTTTCTCCGCAGGATTTCCCTGCCCCACTCGGACTTTGCCCGCTGCAGGTTTTGGCTCRGCTGCGTTTTGGGATAAAAGAACAAACAGAGCTCCCGGTTTTGTGCTGAGGAAGGAGCTGGGAGCTCCCGGGAGAGCTCAGTGGGGCCCCAAACAATCCCATAAAGCAGMAAATGTCTTTGCAGAGCTCGTGTGGGTGGGATGGGCTGGGCCGTTCCCCAGCAAGGCGCTGGAAAACGGCCCAAAATTAGGACAGACAGCGCCTGACCCTCCAGGGCTGGGCCAGGAGGGACCTTCCATCCCATCCCATCAGCGCCGGGGGCAGATCCGGCCGGGATTCCTGCAGGAATCCTGAKCCCAGCGCAGCCCCAGCCGCTCCCGGGCCGTGCTGGGACATTTCTGTCCCCTCCCAGCCGGGCTCAGCTCCCCTCTCCCTCTCCCCCATTCCCAGCRGGAGCATCCCGGGGTTCTCTCCCTCGCAGGAACCCAAAAGAGGCAGCTCCAGCCGCAGCCCCGGCCCTTCATCTCGGCTCTGTTTGCTTTTGGGGTGCGCCTGAGAGCTCTCGGGCTCCGCTCTGCCCAGCCAGGTTGGGCACGGGGCCCCGGGCAGCTCCGGCTCYGTGCCCACCCAGGGCCGGGCTCCGCACCCAGGGAGGGGAAAACGCTGGAAAACTGCGGAGCTTCGRGCAGCCCGTGCTAGAAAGCAGAGCGGGAGGGGTGGGGAGGGAAATGGTGAGCAAAGGGAACTCCGACAATGCTGCAGGGCAGGTTCGAGCGCGGCAGATGAGGGCGGGTGCAGGGACGGATGTGCAGCGAGGCGGCTGCGGGTGCGGGTGGGGGGCACGGCAGAGCCCCCCAAATCCTGAATAAAGTCGGGATTGGGGTGAGCAGAGAGAAGCTGAGCCCTGGCTGCTCGCTCTCGGTTTAGCTGCGGGAGGAGCTGGGTTTTCCATCAGTTCAGGGAGAAAAACGAGCATTGATAACAAAACTAAAAAAARARAGAGAAAGTTTCCAAGCAGCCCCATGGCTCAATCCCTCCCGTGATACCCCGGCCGCTCTTTGGGATTGCGATTCGCGTTTCCTCGGTCGGCTGTCGCTGCTGCCGGCTCGGTGGAGCCGGGGCCGCCTCTCGGGGCTGTTCCAGGATCCCGGAGCGGCTCCCGGGGAAATATCGGGGATGCGGCCCCGCTCCGGCTTTCCCTCCGCCCTTCCCAGGTCCCGCTCCGGCACTCGGGGGGATCGCGGAGGAAAARCGAAAGCAGCGGAGTTTCCCCGCAGTTGGGGTTTGTTTCCCTCGAGATCGCGCTCAGCTGCCGGCAGGGAATCGCTGCCAGCCAGGATGGGGGTTGGGAAAAGGGGAAAAAACCCAAACCCCTTTTCTCTGCAAAATTTCGCGAAGATCCTCTGAAAGATTTGCTGTGAAGATGGAAAAAGTGGGGAGAGAGGAGAGCTCGGAGACACAGGGTACGAGCGGGTCCGGGGAATCGCAGAGAATGCCAAAAATGAAGCTTGAAACACCTCCGGCACAACCTCCCGCTCTTGTCCGGCTGGGAATGAGGATGAGGATGGGATTGGGATCGCTCACGCCATGGGGATCTGCACTCCATAATTGCCAGCATTCACCACCCCATATCCCAATTTCAGGGGAAAACCCCATGGGAATCTGCACCCCTCATGGTCCAGATCCACCACCCAATATCCCAGTTTCAGGGGAAAACCCCATGGGAATCTGCACCCCATAATCGCCAGCATCCACCACCCCATTTCCCAATTTCAGGGGAAAACCCCATGGGAATCTGCACCCCTCATGGTCCAGATCCACCACCCAATATCCCAATTTCAAAGGAAAAAAAAAACCTCATGGGAATGTGCACACCATAATTGCCAGCATCCACCACCCCATATCCCAGTTTCAGGGGGGGAAAAAAACCCGTGGGGATCTGCACCCCACAATTTCCATCATCCACCATCAAATATCCCGATTTCAGGGGAAAACCGCATGGGAATCTGCACCCTGCAGGGTCCAGACCCACCACCCCATATCCCAATTTCAGGAATCCCACACCAGCGTTTCCTTCAACACCACCTGGGAAGGATTGAACCCTCAGCTCCCGAGGTGACAGCTCAGATGTCGTCCCCAAGCCCAGCCCAGGTAGGACGGGGTTTCTGTCCCCTCCCAGACGTGTCAGAGGAAAAAAAAAAWWTTTTTTTACATTTGATTTTCCTGCTGGCAGSGTGGGGATTAATTACACACCTCGTCTGGGCAGAACCCAGCTATCACCACGCAAAGTCTCGCTCCATAAATTCTCAGCTGCTAATAATAAGGCTGGACAGGAGTTTTAAAGCTTCAGTAGACAGTTTACAATTAACCTACTCCTGTCAGCTGGAAAATCACCTTAAAATGGGATTGCAGCTCACGTCTGACTCACTGTGAGTGAGAGTTTCACTTTTTGAGAGTCACAAACCGCTTTGGAAAGGCAGGGAAGGAGCGGAGCAGAGCCAGGGGGAGGCCCCGGGGGCAGTTTCAGCTCAGACCTGACCTGAATTTCTCCTGACATCAGAGCAGATTTCAGCAGGGGATGCCAGCACAGCCTTTGGAAATCAGCTCCAGGAGTTTGGAGCTTTTCAGGCTCATCCCAAGCAAGTTTTTGTCAAGGAGATAAAAACCACTTTGATTTAGGGAGAAAAAGTGCAGATTTTGAACCCCATAAACTACGAGAGGTGCACAAGGAATGACAAGCACAGAGCACAGGATGAGCCCCGTTGCTTCCCGATCCTCCACGGGTTTTTCCCAAGATTTTCCCATTCCCAGTGGGAATGTCACCTCCCAGCCAAGCCAGGGATCGCCAGGACATCCCCAAGGTACAACGAGGGGCTGCATCTCAGGTTACTTTAGAAAATCRCAACTTTTWAAAGGCAAAAATCATCCTRAAAASAAATYATGGACTTTTGCTGMGAGGRTGGGGAGGCCCTGGAATAGAAWTCCCAGAGAATCTGTGGCTGCCCCATTTCTGGAAGCGTCCAAGGCCAGGWTGGAGCASCCTGGGACAGTGGGAGGTGTCCCTGCCATGGCAGGGGTGGCACTGGATGGGTTTGGAGGTCCCYGATTCTTTTCAGGGAAGCTTTGGCCCCCCAAACCATCCCCACAGAGCAGATTTCAGTCCCTCATCCTCACCCCCGTGCGAAACACCTTCGAAAAGCCCCAATAACGAATTCCATCAGCGAGGATAACCCGGGGAAGGGGGGCGGGGCGGGGGGGAGACTCCCGGTGATTTTCTGTGATTAAAAGGCAAATTTTATTCCTGCAGAAAAACCTCGGGAGCCAATGTGGCGTTGCCATGGTTTCACACCCACTGGCTGGAAATGACAATATTAGCAGGGTGACCCGGTAATTAGAAACGGTGCCCCCAGGTCAGGCTGCGGAGAAAATAAAGAGAGATTAGGGCGCGCTAAAGACGCGGCAGAAAGCTGCGGGCTCCTGCGCTCCCCACCTTTTATAAGCGGCCCATTTAAATGCAGATTATGACTTTCCACCTGGGGCTGCTAATCTGTCTCACAGCCGGATCAAACAATGAGGCAGCGCTCCGCACTGTGGGGCCGGGCTGCTCTGGGCTTGGGGTTGGCATCGCTGGCGCTGCCCCGTTCCCCCTCGCTCGGGGCAAAACGCGCAGGGTTTCACTCGCGGATCGTTATTTGGGCCAA